TAGTGTGTGAATTCAGTTAGACCAAGTTTATAATATATAAATCAAATTTTTCCACTTTTTATATACGCCATTCGCATTAATACTGTATTTAAGCTTTTGAAAAAGTATTCGATAATGGATAAATTTGTTATTTGCAAAGTAAACTCCGAAAATAAAGAAAAAAGTAATGAAGGATCCAAACAGGTAACACACAAAATTAAATAAAGAAGATTTTGACCCAAATTGGTTACAAATTTTATCCTTGGCTTAAATAAAGTGAAGATAGTAATTGAAAGGTGACAATTTTTTGTGAAAATGCAAAAAAGAAAAATATTTTACCGAAAGCAAACAGGTATATAAATAAATAAATATTTATCAATGGTTTCCTAATTTGTTATTTTATTATTATGTAAAATTACTGATTGCATACTAGTTTACTATTACAAATAATGTGTCGTCAGCGCACTTTAATATGATGATGATCGGTATTGAATTATATGATTTTCCCGACGGCAGAGTTAAAGTAATATTCACCACTGATATCGAATATGCTAAAAATCAGTATTTATTGGTGGATTTATGGGGGCCAAACAAAAATTGGTTAATGACAAAGTAATTGTTTCACATATTATTTTGGTTGGCTACTCTTGATAATTAAAACAGTTATGTGGCATGCGAAACTCGAAAATAATTATTCTTTTATTAAAACTATAGTAATAATAATAGTTATATGTAAAATCAGATTTGATGATTTTTTAAACATCTTTTAATTTTTTTTTAACAATTAAATTTTTTGATTGAAGAATAAATAAGCTTCATTTGGAAATGCCGGTTTTATTAATTTTTTTAGGTTGTGTCAAACTGAGGTTGAGATAATTTGTCTTTATAAATATGGAGTTGAATACGTAAGACACTTGACCTTCCAAAAACTACAGTTATTTGAACAGTACGAATTTTTCAAAAGGGAGGCTGTGTTAAATAAATTATTCAAAAGCTGGAAGGCCACAAATGTCCAGTTTAATTAATACTTGCCGCCCAAACTATAGTTCAATACTATTTGGGTGTATGACTGTAGCAATAAAAATAACAACATACTTTGTGATTCTAAAGCTTTTGGAGGCTCTTGTACTAAATTTTGTGTATGCTCGCATGCAGTGATTTCTTCTTCCCAAGCTTTGATTTCTGATTGTCTATTGGCTGAAATTGAAAGCATAATGGAATCAATCACAAATGGAAGCTGAGTAAAGGAATCAATAAATTTAGAAAGATTAAATGAAAATTAATTAATCGTATAAAAAGATTTTTTAAAAATAATTTTCAAATAATTATAAATTTGAATTTCTAACATTATCTAATGTTTTATCAACTTCCACTCCGTCACAAGTATGACATTTAACTTTTGTCAAAAATTCATATTTCTCTTCTTCAGATTCGGGTACAATTGCAAGTTTACTTATTTTTTGAGGAGGTTCTTCATTTTCATCAGGCTTTTAGAACATTTTCAAAATTATAACATAAAAATCAAAAAAAATCACATAATTTAATATTGATATTGCAAAGTAACTTACTCTTTTTGGTTTATCTTTGATCAAACGACGAATATTTAAAACAAGTGGGTGATTCGTTTTTTGATAATGAATTTGAGAATGATTACGCTCAGGGCCAGGACAACTAGCATTAAAACATGTTAAACAAACATCAATTCCAGGAGATAGATCCTAATTAATTTATTTATTTATTTAAAAATGTGAATTTTTAGTTGTATCAAAAAAAGAAAAAAAAAACAGAATTCAATAACATTTTACAGAAAAATACCTGAGAATCAAAACATAGTGTACATTCCTCTTTATGAACTTGAGTTGATGCTGAAGGAGGTTGTAAGTTTACAGTAGAAACATGTGGACAAAAGGCCATTATGTAAATAGTTTAAAAAAAATATTCTGGATCGATCATAAATCAGCTGTCAAGTTTATTATTATGGGACTATTTATCCGTGTTACACGCACAACCTAAAACCAATTTTATATTTATTTGTCCCATTTTTTTTTTTTAATAAATTATGTTGAAATTTGTTCTTTTGGTGAATAAACAAGGACAAACGCGCTTTTCAAGATATTATACTAATGTTCCCATGCAAGCAGAAGAAAGGGTTTTTACGGAAGCAGAAATTACACGTAAATGTATGAAAAGAGGAGATTTACAAGTAAAAATTTAGTTTACCATTAATGAATGTTGGCTTTAGAATTTATTTATTTATTACTCGTATCATAATGACAAAGGATATATATTTATATGTATATAATAACAGTGCTCAATATTTGACTATAGACAATTTAAATTAGGTGCGTTTAATTTATTGTTTGGATAAATATTGAAAAATATTAATTAATGATTGTTTTGGGGAATTGTTATTTTCAGCCTTTAGAAGATATGCATCGCTATTTTTTATTGTTGGGTTTGACAATGATGAGGTTTTTATTATTATTTTATTCTAATAGTGATCAAATTCCATTCGCACCATGTAATGTAAATGGAGGACGTAAAACAATTGATGGTAATGATGGTAATAAGAATTTTCAATCTAATGGTAAATTTTATTTCCTAAATTATTTCTAAAAT